AAGAGTATCATTTAAAATGCCAGGCATTATATATCTTTATTCTAGTTTGTGTCTGTGTAATATTATGTATTGTGATGGGACTGATCTTATAAAATAAACATTAAAAACATTTTAGTTCTTATTTTATTTGCCAATAACAGGTATTTAAAAAATATATTTTTTATTTGACATCTGTGACAAATTGTGAAAATGATTAAACTTACAATAAAAACTAAAAAATGGTAGGTAAAGTTTCATATAAAATTTTTTATAGAAAAATTAATGTCAAGCTTTCTACATAACCTGATGTATATTAAAAATAATCTTAAATTATGAAGAAAAATCAGTTTACAAACTAATAATGTTTATAGATGGTTTTCAAAGTATTAAAAACAAAAAAAATATCAGACTAACTAAAATATTCATTTATTAATAGTTGTAGTGCTTGAAAACAGTATGATGTTGATAATAATAACTACACAAACTCAAATAATAAAAACAGCGATATTGACTCTTGTACAAAGTTTTGATCCGAACTTACATATACTAAAGTCATTGGAAAAAGTGAACACCCATTTTTAATTACGACGAGCCGCCACTGATTGTATATATTCAGAACAACTTGTTTAGCATTCACCAATATATGAGTGCGCTTTTTTTTATCAACGCCGGCACATCCACATTAATTACCTACAGGAATAAATTAATGACTTTCTAACTCTATTATTTTAACAACACCAACTACAGAGTGGCCAAAAGTTTGGAAACGGCCAATTATCTCGTAAATTGCTAGTCCTAATTGTACAAAATTTAAGGTACACCTATTTTGGGATACGATGATTTCAGATTTCATATTTGCAATATTGCCAGATTTGCCGTTTTTCTTAAATTATTAGTCACTTTGGTTTTTTAAATTCATCACCCTGTATATTCAGTCATTATTGAAATCTCATATTGAATACGAGTTCAACTATATGTAACACTTATGATTTTATGTAGTCTGGTAGGTCTTAAATAGATAAAATAAGTCCGGCAACGCCTAATTGTCTCAATAAATTTTTTAATACAAACTATTTTCAACTACATTAAAAGGTAACAATCAAAAGATTATAACATTTTTAACATAATGGTTACTTTACCAAGTGTTCAAAATGTGCTCCATTTGTGAGTTGACAGTACCCTAATCGATGGTAGATTGCGTCTACCACATTTCTCCATGATTGTTTTATTTATTTAAGAATTTCCAGGCTATATAAAATCATAAGTGTTACATATGGTTAAACTCGTATTGAATAGGAGATTTCAATAATGACTGAATATACAGGGTAATTAATTTGAAAAACCAAAGTGACTAATAATTTAAGAAAAACGGAAAATCTGGCAAGATTGCAAATATAAAATCTGGAATCACCGTATCCCAAAATAGGTGTACCCCAAATTTTGTACAATTAGGACTAGTAATTTACGAGATAATTGGCCGTTTCCAGACTTTTGGGCCAATCCGTATATCGACAAACTACAAAACAGAAATAAATCAGGTTTGTTAACGATGGTCGATGGTCAGTTCAACCCTGTCCTTTCAACTTCGCAGAGCATTACAACAGTACCTCTATAAAAACAAGACCATTTAATTGTGACACTTAAGGTACCATTTCGGTAGGCGCGTCAGGAGACAGGAGACCACCGAGACGACCCCAAGGACGACAGATGCATAAATGTTACGTTCCGTTTATTTGGGAAGCCAGAAGATGGGTGGCGCGACACCGAACGATCAGCGTTGTCAGACCTACTGTTTTTAAGTAGATCCACTATTTTTGTCACTAGCAAATTTTGTTCTTAATTTATTAAGTTTGCCTCATTCTTCAGCAAATGGTCAAGAATATTTTTTCTAGTAAATTTGCTAAAATAAAAGCAGCGTAATAAGCATCCACTACTGTAGGTTGGCTCCATAAAAAAAAACATCAAGATAATCATTATGTTTTTTTTTTTTAAATGAAACAAAGAATTAATAGGGTATCATAAAAAGAACATGCTTGCCACAAAACGATTTTGAATTATCTGATTCAGACTGATCTAAAAGAAGTAGGTACCTATTATTTTTCATTGTTTTTTTTTGTTTCCATAGGTTAAGTATATATTAAAAATGTTATTATTTGTTTTTAATCTTTGTTTACTTTCTGATTTGGGTAGAAAAATGTTTATTTTCCGTTTCTTATATAGTTGTTTTTTTTTTATTTAGTACACTGCAAATTATAATTATTTTCCCTGTATTAAAATCTACTGTTTAGATCTACGGTTTTTGTTTTCACCCATACTGTTTCAGGATCTGGCAACACTACCTAGATCGAAAGAAATTTCCAACCTAATCACACCCAAATACAAGCGATGTCTGAGGACAGTGACCTCGAGTGCGACACGCAGCAAATGCTTTGCCCGGAGACAGATGCAACGTGTCGTCAAGAAATGTCGTCAAGAAGTGTCGTCAAGAGACAGTTATCGGTCGCGTCTGTTGTCGTCTGTCGCGCCTACCGAAATGTTACCTTTATTGACTACTAACTTATTCAATATCTAAGGGTCACAATTGTTTGTTAAAATTCGGACCGCTGTCAATAACTACAGTTATCAGCGCGGGTAAAACAACTGGGTTTTTCCAAATCTTATAATTTGCAACGAACCATAACGTCGTTACTGATTCGTTGAACGATGTTGCTTCTTAATAATTGGAGACGAGTACCAAAATCTAACAAACTTTTATTTTTAAATGGTCTTGTTCTAGTAAGCTCTTGTAAAAGACAATCTAAATTTCTTTTATCAGAAAACCCTTGTTTTAAAACATTTTTTAAAGCCCCCAATTATTTAATTCCATTCGATTTCTAACCAAAGCCTCCGTTTGCCAATTAGTTTTTCTTGTATGCTCTTGAAAATATGATTGTTTAGTTCTTCATCATTATACATGGAATAAGGTTTAATGTTATCTACTTTTAATTTAAAAATATCTTAACTAACAGAGCGTTAAGCTTGTGGAACTGGAGGAGGTGACATTTTAAAATTGTTAAATAATTCTGACACAAAAAATTCTTGCCTTTTAGAAACGTTACTTAAGTTATTATCGTTTTCAATAGTAAGATTATTACAGTTATTTGGCAATTCTTCTAATTTATTCATAAAGTTATCGTAATATGCTTAGATATATTTTTGATATATGAATAATCCACAAACTTATATTCTTAACAACTTTCTCTCCTGAAACCTTAATGAGAGGGTAAGGAAAGTCAAAAAGAAACTTGGCACTTACAATATTCGCCTGGAGTACGTTGATCCTTTTCCGATTATAATTTCACTTCTTTGAGCTTTTGCGTTCTCGATGATCCACTGAAGGGTTGTCCACTGAAGGGGTAGATTCTTTGGATTCGCACTTCGATGTTGAAACACCCAAGTCGCGGAAAGTTATTTTTCTCGACACGAAAACTGCAAAAATGTTTTTCCACGACTTGCACTAATCCTACTGATTGCGCCAGAAATGATTTGAGCGTTCAAAAATTATTTATTTTATATTAAGAACAATATTTTTATGACTACTACAAACGAAGGTTTAATTAAGAATGATACAAGTGTTAAAAATAAGGACACAAGCAATTGCAAAAGTCCTGATTAGGCGTTATTAAATATCTAGCAGCTGGTTTGGCACTATTCTTGAAATTGCATCATGTAGCTACACTTCCTTTTTTATAAATCATATTTAAAGAAATACGTGACGAATTTATTGATATGTGGATTGTGTTCGATGATAGAATTTAGGTTGGTACACCTCACTATCAGTAGCTCTTTGAAAAAACATGTGTCTTGTTTGTTTATGCGTATGTATTTTATTTGATTTTATTTTTGTGAAAAATGTAATAGGGTTTTGTAAAATCCGATTTAAATAATGTAATAGTGAAAACCAAACAAAATTAAATATAATTTTTCTATCTATATTAATTAAAAAAAAAAATGTTAAAATCATCCATTTAATATGGTGGTTATTAAAAGGGATATGCCGGAAATCGGAAAACAGCTAGTGAATAAAACAATTCCTGTACCAAATTGCTCCATCGGATATTTAGTATGGGCGTTTAGCACTTTTGGTTTTGTACACTCCGATTTGGTATATAAAAAGCAGTAAAACTAGTATTTTTATATAAGGTAAATGGGGCAAACATTGACATATCTCTAATAATTTCCTGAGACAGGCTTACTATGTAGTAATACTAAGCAATGATGTACGTAATGTTCTAATTTGTACTTTATCCGACAAAAATTTTTTTTTTAATTTTGTCCGGTGTCAATGTTACCCTATGGATAGTATAACATTGACATCCTATATAAATTAAAGCCCAAGTCAATGTTAAGAAATCGTTAAGCAACATTGACACACATTAATCTGTTTTATGGCCGTTTTAGGTAGAAACGAACAATTTTACCTTATTTTTCTGCAAAAATAAGTCGGAAAACTATGTTGTTTTTAATAAAATCATATTTTTATTCTGAATAACAAAAGAATAATATAATGTGGGAGCCTTATTATCAAAAACTGGAACTTAAGCTAGGAATTACATCTTAAAAACATACAAAACTAAATATTGGCACGTGTCTTTGGCAAGGTAATGATACTAAACTAATAAATTTTGGTAACTCCACTAATGTAGGGCACTTTAAAAAAATGCATTCCTCTATTTATCGTCGGTTTGTGAATAATTGCAACCACTGCATTTAATAATACCGGCTCTATGTACTCAACATCAGAATATACAAAATACAAACCCTTTTTACGTAAGAAGTTAACCTTAATATTGCCATCCTTTACTTCTACAACCTTTCCTATGTAATGAATGATATCTTTATTCCCAGGATATTTGACGACTGCCCAATTCCCAAGTTTAACGTTCTGAATGTCGGCATAGGTACTTTTTTGACTGCTTCATTTTCTGCAGTGATCAAATCTTCAAACTCTTCCGGCTCATTGTCACTGTTATCATCATAAATTATCTCACTTTCTGAAGAACTGGAACCTGATATTTGTGCCTTTCCTTTCTTCTTTTATTTGCCAATGGTTGCTTTTGGTTTTGCTTTTTTTCTTCCTTTTCACGGAGTCTCTTCAAAACATCTTTGTCTGTTAGGCTTTCAGCAAATTTTCTGTTTACTCTGTTATTCTTTATAACGAACGTTTTTTTTGTGTTTTCAGTCCTTAGGACTGATAAAATTGAATTTGCTAAACTTTTTTTAATATCTTCTGGTGTAGTAGGACAGGGTATCGGTTCTGCTATTTTATTCCTTATGTTGTAAGATGTCGACCGCAACTGAGTCCCTAGAAGATGTGGATGGCATCTGAGCATAATCCTCACCGTTAATAATATCTGCCATCTGAGATTTTTTTGTCATTTTTTCTAAAGACAAAGGGTAAATATCCGACCCGTCAAAGGCACTTACCACATTACTTCTGGACAAACTTGGAGTGTTGGCCAATTTTTTCATTAAAGAAGGGAATATAATTTTATCGACATTTTTACATCCCGATTCTTGATAAAAATCTCGAAGTATTTTTCTCCAAGACGCCTTAACCGATTTGTAAATGCCAACATCCAGAGGCTGAACTAAATGGGACGTGTGAGCTGGTAAACAAAATATTTTGATATTATGTTTTGCGGCTGTTTCTACCAAGTCCAAAGACAAATGTGAGTTATGCCCATCCAAAATAAGAAGTTTAGTGCCCTCTAAATCTGAAGTTGAAGGAATAAAACAGTTAGTAAACCAATCAAAAAACTGAAGGCACTCCATCCAACCAGACGGTGAACAATTATAACGACAATTCTCCGGCCCGCCCACGCACCAAGTGGAATGAATAGAGGTGAAGTCCTTTGTAGTTGACAAACATTGGTATGAAGTCTCCAACAGCATTGCAACACATAAGAACCGTGTAGGTAGCTTTTGTGACGCTACCGACTAATTTGTTTGCATTTCGGCTACCCCTTTTGCACAAAACTTTCTGGACACCTGCATCGGTTTGAAAACCAATCTCATCACAGTTAAAGATGTTCTGTGGCTTTTTATCCAAACCGAAACGCGAATAGACAGCTTCCAATTTATTATAACAATCTTCCATTACCTCCCGTGACCCCGCTACAGCTCTATTCTTGGGAAGATTTTGAGCCACTCGTCTACTTATTTCTTTAGACCATCTTTTTTCGAACATCATGCACCAATCAATACCTGGCATTCCATTGCGGAACGGATTCGGTCGAACAAGTTTTTACACATAGCCTTGCATACACCTTTGGAGTTGTAGTCGGTCGAATCCATAGCTCCATTCGCCAAGCTTAACTAACGTATGCACCAACATTTCCTCTTCTTCATAGGTTAAAACTGTAGGATGTCCAACAGCTTTATACTTAAATCCCTTAAAATGGTTCATTGAAGTTGTCCGGTTTATGCCATAACGTTGAGCGGTTGCCTTAAAACTGTCACATTTTTTAACTGCTTGTAGAGCTTTTTGCATAGCCTTGGGATCATAGGACTTGTACTTTCGAATATTAGGCCGTCTGGGTTTCTTTGTGCGTGCCATCTACAAAAAATTTTGAGAGGCAATGTTGGCCTAACGATTACATTGACCGTGTCAATGTTGGACTAGGGGCTAACATTGACACTGTCAAACATAACCTTAAATTAATTTTCAAAAACTTAATATTTAGTTTTACAAAATCACTAACGGATAAAAAAACTGATTTTTTATATTAAAATTAGAAATTACTTTAACACCAAAACTTCGGACCTGTTGACTCAAAATTCACAAAGTTTTCTATGCAAATACTGGGAGCACGTTGAACATCAGCTGTTAAAAGCAGCCGTTACGAATCTACAGGTTGGCTACGGAGCATGCGCATTACTTTTATACAAAGCCGTTGGATCAGGGTTGCCAATCTGTGAGTAATTCCTCACATTTGTGAGTAATTTACTAGTATGTGAGTAATTTTGTGAGTAAAGGGCAATTGTGAGTAATATGTGAGTAATCGGGAAGTCAGCGTGGGCATATTCTTGGTAGTTAGGCTAAATCCTTATCTGATAATTTATTAAAACCGTGGTCTTTTTAAAATTTTAATATAAGCCTAATGTTAACCCCCTAGCACTTTTAGCAGTCATTACAATTTTGTAGTTTTAAAATTGCTGCGTTCTCTATTGCTTGGCCAATGTAATAGAGTAAAAGTGATTTTGATATTTTACAACACTAGGTGTCGTGTCGATAGTGATAGTCCCATTGGGACTGTTCCAATCGTCGATTAATATCTTTTTTGTTCATTTTAAAAATATATTTTTTATAAGTAGATTTTTTTTCAAGTATTAGAATTAACGATTTATTATGATTTGGCCCATTAATAAAGAAGATACTCTAAATCTCCAATCCCTTTTATCTGTGTTTTTTGTCCAGCTGATTACAAACATGTTTCATATACAGGGTTATTCATAACTATTGGGACATTGGCTAAGGACAGGTTATTTGGACCAAAATATGGAGATGGGTCCAAATATACCTTAATAAAATATTGTTGTGAAATAAGATACAGGACGTTAAATTCGAATTCTTTTTTTAATTTTAAACCTGTTTATTACTTGGTTATTAAAATAGTAAATGTACAAAAAAAAGGTGCATCTGTTTTAACTAATGTATGTTCTGAAAATGTCTCTTTTGATATTTGGCAACATTGCACAGTAGTAAAATAAATTCAAACAAAAGTGCACGAGTAAATAATATACGATTTATATAAAAAAACTAGAAATATAGATATTTTGAAGTTGTGAGTAATTGTGAGTGATCCGGAAAAGTTTTTGAGAGTAAATCGGTGAAGACCGGTTGGTAACCCTGCGTTGGATGGTAATAGAGCACCATAAGGAGAAAACGGTCTGGCTACCAATGCAGTCACCTTTTCGATTGGATTTAGATATTGTGTCAATGTTATACCAATGTCAATGTTGGTCCACGTTACCTTAACTAAGTTACTTTCTAAAAAGACGTTTTTTTACAAAATTTTTATATAAAAACTTTTTTTTTAATTTCAAGTAATAATTATTCAAATAGCAACTACTTTTAACTTCGTATAGCTATCTCACTCGCTCCAAAGCCCGAGCATAGTACCGTCGCGCATACTAACGGCTGAATGTTTTTTGTGTCTGGGGGAAGTTTGGCCCTTACAATTAGTCTGGCTGAATAAAAATATGTTTAAAATAATCCCTTAAATAACATATATAAAAACCAGACATGAGAACATAAGTAAAATTACAAAAATGTTTGGGACCTTTAAAGCGTCTAGCAGAAGTTATGGCCAACGGAAAGTGTCTGACAATATTCAATATTATTTTGTATTAATATTTTATGGAATATATATAAAAATCAACCATTAGAGTTTAAGTAAAGTAAACCCTATTTTTAGTTACCTTTCTCACCTGGTACTAATCTTGATTATCTCCGCTAAATATTAATTTATGTTATAGTAAAAATTAAAATTCGATATTCTATAATTTCTGACTGTCTGTAACTAATAATAATTAATGTCATATGTCATACTGAAAATATTGTTCGATACGAGAGGATTATTTTCGAAAAATATCTGTAAATATAGGCAGGCCCTTTTAAGAAAGGGCCAAGTTGTAATATCAACGCCTTGTTCATTAAAATCTACTCATAGGATTGATTTGTGCCCATTACATATGGACACTATTATTTAAGAAGTCGACAATAATGCAACATATCAAAAATTCAGGAAATTTCACCGAAGCCTATTTCTCCATAAGTCGGCTATCTGGTCTTTTATGGAAAATTACAATAAATGCCTTGTACACATTTCTCTATCGCATGTGTATTTGAAATTTTCCTACGGTTACTTCAATTTTTAATTCCCTATTTTATTTTCTCTTTTTTCTTTTTTTAGATCATAGGTTCAAGAATTGATCGGTACACAAAAGGTAACTTCTATGATTGTAGTTTTAATATTTTGCATGGATCGACACATTCATCTTTTATTCCTATCTAAATTAATTTCACAGTTTACAATTTATTTACACTGTTTATAATATCAATCCACTCCTGTATACAGTTGATTAGTATACCAACTGCATTATGTATCGTCCGTCGTTGCAGTCGGTAACAACATGGCGGTTACAGAGGTGAGTAATAATTAATATTTTTGACCAAATTTACCGTTGGAAATTAGAAACAAGCACTTTTGAAGTTATACAGGATGTTTCATATGTTTAGTTATTTTTTGTAGAACAACTCAACTTACTTTTTCATAACCTCAAAAATATAGAGATATTAATCTTAAGTACGGATGTGTTTATTTGGAATGGTAATAAACATAAATGATTATCAAAATGTGAATGTGATTTTCAAAAAACCTTATTTACATAACAACATAGAATCAATCAATAATGGTTTCTATTTATTTCTACCAGAAAAATTAATTTCCCAACAAACATTTTGGTCTGGGGAAATAATGGCCCAACTGTCTGCCTTTAATTATAATGATGGCCTTCTAACTTTTACCTACAAAGGGCCGGCATATACAGGTCACTACGGCTGAGAGTCTGGCCACAGTCACTTTGCCATCATACAGTTAAAGGGCATGCAATGGCTGCAGGCCCAATATTGGTAAATAAAGGTTTAGTTCGAGGAAAACAATGTTTGAATTGCTGATGATTTTAATGACGATTATTATTTAATAAATCAATTGACAATTAAAACAGTTTTTGTTAGTTAAACCTTTATTTTACCACAAATTTCAAATTCAACTAAAGATGGGTTTTTCTAACAGAAGGTACACAAAAAAATGAAAATTAAATTATACTCAAGTAAATGTTCATTAATTAATTTTTTGTCTCCTTTGTTCTCTACTCCCTATGCAATCGTATGCAGACTCTCTAGTCGTATATTAATGACTTTCTGATAAAACGAATTTAAACTACACATTATCATTCTTTTCTTAAATCCAGGAAAATAAAGCAATATATAAGTAATGAAATTAATTCTTTGTCTTTTTTGGTACAAATTGAATAAAAAAATGGGGTTAAGTAGTAATCAGTGTTAATGTACTACATACTACTAAATGAGAACTATTTTAATACTTATATGCTGAGTTCGGACCAACGACTATATATCTATAAGATATCTAAGTTCCCCGATTTCTTTCCGAAGCTGTTACGTCAACATCAGTACACTTTCAAACGCAGGTCATTTGAAATATAAAAATATTATCGTCTTTTTTGAAATTAGGCTCTTTAAATTTTTTTGTTTAAAAAATATACTTTTTTGTATAGATA